TGGCCAGTTTCCTGAGCCAAGATGCAGTTCCTATGACTGTACAAATCTTTGCTGGCCATAACTTCTATGCCTGGGACCAAAAGTCCATATGGTTAATGTAGCTGAGCAACTCCTGGTGTCGGAGATGAAGAGGCATGTGAACTTACTCCATGGTGTAGCATCAGGCAGGAGATACTGGCTTCCCAGGGAAGAAGTAGCTATTGGGGAGAATGAAGAGATTTCAGGTAGAATCAAGGCAGGTGAAGAAGATACTGGTGAGGCATTGTACAGAAAAGCCTGGGACCTGCTGGCCTCATCCAGACCTTGAGGATCTGGAAAGTTCTCAGTTGTGTCGCATGGTGAGTGTGGTGGAAAGTGGCTGTAGCAGAACTGAAAGGATTAATATTTCTGTCAATGCAAATGCACAAAATAAAGTGGACTAATCACTTGTACTGAGAGTCAAATGTGCAGTGCAGAGCAAAATCTGTATTTAAAATGAAGTCACAGTGCATTCCACATATTAAACCTCAGATGACAGAAATTGTTCTGATGTATTATTCAGACACACTGATTGTACATTTCTGTGCCAAAATGCTGTGGCTAAAATGAAAGAAGATAAGCCCATTTAATAATCTCTAGAGGCAGTACTGTTTAATTTAGTATCAAAAAGTTGGATCTTACAGGTGCATTGCTTATATCTACTTAAATGCCTCATGAGGTCATGTTCTTAATTTAGTATTTTATCTTTAATAAGATCATAAAAATGTAACATCTTGTCAACAGAACAAAGAAAGTACATTTTTATTGAAGTGTAACACACTGTATGGCTTTATAGAGTTTTGCTGCTAACTGCTTCTCTAGATTGTCTGTCATCAAGCTGAAATATCTACATTACATGCACTATGGGTTGGTATTAAAAAAAAAAGGAACCCATAAAACATTTATATTCATGTACCATGGCAAAGGTCAATACAGGGACTGATCTTTACGACTTTCTGGTTTGTGACACATTTTTTTTCTCTCCTAAATCTGATTTAACTAAGGAAAAAAATCCTACAAATAATTTTGAATTGGAAAGATGATTTTATACTGAATTTAGTGAAGATACTTAAAAGGAAGAACTCTCAGTTTGAAGCTGCTGTCACTATGTCTTTGCACAGAGATAGCACAGGGTGTATCAATATCTGTCCCTGTCTCTCTCCCTCTTCAATGCTATATTTATCACCCCTCTGGCCATAAAAGGTCTGGACTGGGGCTCTGACATTCCACTGACTGCAGGCATTATTTTTGTTCTGGACCTTGAGGTTCAGTCCTTACCCCTCGTTCCCAACTACCTCTTTCATTGCTGGCTTCATCGTTGCTGTGTTTTTTGCTATTCATCCACCTGAGAGCTATTCCGTTTGCTGCCATTCATTTGAACCCTGGTAAGTGTTCCTTTATGACAGAAGATTTTATGTGTTCGGTTATTTTTAATCTGAATCTGTAATGTTGAGTTGATAGTAGCTCCCTTTACTCTTCTCAGCTCAGCAGTTATTTGAGTGACTTGCGGACATGAATTGAAGACATCTGAGGGTTCAGCTGTGAAACAAAGCAAAGTAGTGCAAGGGTTCACCTATTACCAACTCAACCATACTTGCATATTGTCACAGTACTCTCAAGTGAGGCATGGGTTGCTGAGATGCAGGAGGAATTTGTCATGTAACCTCCTTTGGGCTTAGAGAATGTGTGAGTAATCTAAATATTTTGTAGCTGCACAGGGTATCTTCTGTTTTGTAGAGCCATTTGCTGAGCTGAAAGTAATTATATTTTTTCCCCTGCTTACAAGCATTTCTGTTTTTTAACTATTTCACTGTTTTCACTGATTGATGGAATGTATCTTCAAAGAATTACACAGCCTGGTAAACAGCACAACAGGTAATGCCAATAAAAGCACTTCCTTCAATGTGTAGCTAGAACCTGTGAACAAGTACAGAACTCTCTGCCTGCTCAGGAGTAATTTTGAGAATTCATTTCAACAGCTGTTAACATACAGCTCCAAAACCTGAATATTTATCTAACTATGGCCACTAATATTTTTAGGCAAAGCTCTGCAGTTATGAAATCCTGTGAGGGAGTGTTGCCCTCACGCTAAAAGGGACTGATCAGTGGACAAAAACTAAGTAGGTGCAGGTAGTGTGGATATTATAAAAGGTAAATGTGGGAGTCAATCCGATAATCAGACAGTGCTCCAAATAGGAGAAAAACCCTGACAAGGTTCAGGCTTTCTTGTCATCTCCAACAGGGCCAGACTGCTGTATCTGATCAGACTAGTGTAACTAACTGATCCTGACCTGTGAGCAATGCTTCATGTTTCAGAGGAAATGTAAAACATAACTCATAGTGTGATAAAATAGCTATAGAAGGAGTTTCCTCTCGTATAACGTGAGTCAGAGCTGGCCTTTGACTTGAACCAGGAGAGCTGACTTCCTGCTCAGTGCCTGCCTTAGCTCTTACTCCTGTCATAGAATCCTCCTCTTACTCCTGAGGACAGCAGTGTCCAGGCCTTTTATGTTTGGAAGAAAAAGGTTGCCTTTACACCTTATATATATGCTGACTTTAAGTCTGCTTCTTGTTCTTTTGCTCTGATAAAATAGAAATGAAATGTTGTATTTAAATACTCCTTAATGGGCAATGCATGCAGTGCTTTATACTTTTGGTTCACATTCCTCACTTTGAAGCCTGGAAGGTTGTGGGAATCCCTGAGTGACAGGCCTGAATGGCTGCTAGCCCTGTGGCTGTTGTATCTGGGATGAAGCTAGCCAACACTGCAAATAAAGCTGGCAAAGATTAAGGGAAACAACTGTAGTACTCTATAGAAGGAGAACAGGATGTTTTCATGTTCCTTCCTCTTCAGTGTGCAAATCAAGACTCATCTGGACACCTTGAGTTTGCTCAGCAGAGATTGCAATGGCTCGCAAACCCTAAACCTAGCTCTGTGGAGCTGGGAGAGAAAGCAACAAAGAAAAATAGAGAAGAAATCTCCTGAAACTAGAGAAATTAAGAGGAATTACGTACTTCCAGAAGCTGACAAAAATGTAATAAATAACAATAAAATTATTGATAGATATTAGAAACAAGGATACTAGACAGAATAGTTGCATTCTTTAGACTTACATGAAAAACTAGCCAGCAGGAGAAATAAGGGAATTCAAGAGGAACATCAGTTCTTGCCATAGAGAAGAGTGGGCT